GCTCAGAATCCTGAGGTTTTGAGGCTACAATTCACTCAGGAGTGTCTGTTTGTGCCCACAGAAGGAGAGGTTCTACGAGGGGCACTTTGTGCTGGCCACGCCGTCGTGCAAGGAGCTGGCAGACCTGATGAAACAGTGCATGAACTATGACCCCCACCAGAGACCCTTCTTCAGGGCCATCATGAGGGACATCAACAAACTGGAAGAGCAAAGTAAGGCATCGGGGTAGGGATCATGGAATCCTGGAATGGTTTGGGTTGGGAGGGACCTTAAGGATCATCTCATTCCAACCCAAGGCTGATTTATTTGGTTAAACTGGACACCTGACTTCTGTCTTCCCTGTTGGCTGTGCTGACAGCTGTGTTGTGTCCCTGCAACAGGGACTAACCATGTCTGTAGATGTAGATGTAGTAAATACTCAGGGAAGCCGAGTAATTACTACAGGGTGGGAAGTACACCCAGAGAAAACTTGATCTGGAAGCAGACCCAGAAACCAACCCACAAAGTGAGGGAGGATCAGCAAGGGATAGACTGGCCTGTAGGTATGGAGGAATTCCCTGTCAGAAAGCAGGAAAATTGTGACAGTGGGATAGGCACGGTAACAGCAGTAGACTGAAGTGAGCAAGGATGCCTTGGGGTGTTGAGACCGAGGTGTCCATGCAGGAATCTGTCTAACCATTTTTTTTTTCTGTCCAGATTTTTTCTGACCATGTTTTTCCACTCCTAGATCCTGATATTGTGTCAGAGAAGAAGCCTGTTACTGAGGTCGATCCCACTCTCTTTGAGAAACGATTCTTGAAAAGAATCCGGGATTTGGGAGAGGTAAGAGGAATGTCAGACACAGAACACAGATCAGTGTGTATGTGTATGTCCCCACAGCCATGTGCTGTGTCATAGGAGATGTGGATCATAAACACCTAAAATAGTGCTTTAGTGTTGCTGTCAGTGAACAGTGTTCCCAATAATGCTCTTTTCTCTCCCAATTAGGGCCACTTTGGCAAGGTTGAACTCTGCAGATATGACCCAGAAGGTGACAACACAGGGGAGCAAGTGGCAGTGAAATCCCTAAAGCCAGAGAGTGGAGGGAACCACATTGCTGACCTCAAGAAGGAAATAGAAATCCTGAGGAATCTCTATCATGACAACATCGTCAAATACAAGGGCATCTGCACAGAAGATGGTAAATTGTATAGAATATTTAAAAGTGTACACTGAAAGCATAAGGGTTTTCCTTTGAAAATAAAGCATTTTATAAATGTCCTGCCAGGAACAGGTTCTCCTGGACTGGTAGAGTAATGGATAATGGGATTTAGCTACCAGTGCTGCAGGCTTGTTCAAAAGCTGTTGGTATTCATGGCCTGAGAAGCATCACATGTGTGCAAACTAAACATGCTCTGGTTTTAGGAGGAAGCGGGATTAAGCTCATCATGGAATTTCTTCCCTCTGGGAGCCTAAAGGAGTATCTCCCACGGAACAAGAACAAAATCAATCTCAAGCAGCTGCTCAGATACGCGGTTCAGATCTGCAAGGTGAGCTGGGACCAGAGCTGTTGGATCAGTTTAATATCTAATTTAACAGAGTGAAGAGGAAAAGAGGTCAGGAACAAACCCATTCTCCTTTTCTGTCCCCAAGGACCTGAATCCTAAAGCAGTCTCTCCCCTGCTATGGGTGCTACTGGCACAAAGATCAGAGGAAGAATAATTAGGATGTTCCTTTGCTTAAAAGTTGTTTTGAAAAGTTATTCCTGCTGCAGAATTTGGAGTATTGGGAGGGAGGGCAGCACTTGGAGAGTGGGTTGGCAAGAGGGAAGGAGCAAGGTGCAAGTCTAAAGGGAGGAAGAGACGTGAGTGCAGAGCGTGGTCAGACCATGTGAAGCACGAAGTGCAGAAAAACAGGGATTAAAATATTGGAGGACCAAGGATGACAGGCTTTCTTTCTTCTCTCAGGGAATGGACTACTTGGGCTCCTGTCAGTACGTGCACCGTGACCTGGCAGCAAGAAATGTCCTTGTGGAAAGTGAGAACAGGGTGAAGATTGGGGACTTCGGGCTCACCAAGGCCATTGAGACCGACAAGGAATATTACACGGTCAAGGACGACCGCGACAGCCCCGTGTTCTGGTACTGCCCCACAACCCACCTCCTGCAGCCATGCTGCGCAGGGCATGGCCTGCTCTGCTCCTGTGCCCTCAGGCTCTGGGCATCCTCAGGGTTCTTCCTGTTTTTATAACAGGCCCAAGTAAAGGTACACCATGAAAACATGGAAAAGGCACCTGGTAGACTGTACTCTTGTTTCATTTATTTTTTCCTGCACTTAATTTTTCCTGCACTTAATTTTCCCCATTTTTGGTTTTTGTTTCCTTTAGTTTCACAGTGAGTTGTAACAATTGTACCTTATTTGCTATGTTTTACTATTTACTTGGCATCCCACATTAACTAAGGTACAAGGACTCTACAAACATGGAATGTGCCTCCAGAGCTGGCTTTAATAATGCTGTCCCTTGGATCCCCAGGTATGCCCCGGAGTGTTTGCTGCAGAGCAAGTTCTACATTGCCTCAGATGTCTGGTCCTTTGGGGTGACACTCTATGAACTGCTCACCTACTGTGACTCTGAGTCCAGTCCCATGGCAGTAAGTGCTTGTGACAGAATGGCTGCTGAAGCTGCTGAAATCCCATAATTTTAATATTTTTGGAAAAAAAGAGGTGGAATTGTAGAATCCCAGACCAGCTTGGGTTGGGAGGGACCTTAAAGCTCATCATTCCCCCTTCCATGGGCAGGGACACCTTCCACTGGACTGATTTATCTTAGGAAAGCAACCCTTGTGGTTCTTTTTTTGTGCTGGCTGAGGGATGCCCAGCTGACTCTTACTTTTCCCACAGGAATTCCTGAAGATGATCGGCCCCACGCAGGGCCAGATGACGGTGGCACGGCTGGTGCGTGTCCTGCAGGACGACAAGCGTTTGCCACGACCACCCACCTGCCCAGAGGAGGTAAGGGACGGATACGGATGCGCCTGGAGCCAGAGCCATGTCCTTGGACACTGAATTAACACCAGAGGTCCATGGTTAACTAGGCCTGGCCACTCTGGTAGGAAAACCTTCAGCTGTGCTGTGAAAAAGGCATTTCCAAGGTTTGGAAGCATTATTTTAAGATGGTTTTTGATATTAACATTCCCAAGTTGGTGATGTCCCTTCAGAGGGGTTAAGGACTTGCTGTAATACCTGTATCCATGAAAATTCAGTTGGAATCCTTCTAGTTTTTGCAATACAGCCTTTCTGGGTGTGTAGCACACCTGTAGGTGAAGCTGTTAAGACCTCAACTTACAAAAACCCCTCTGGTTTGGGTCCTTACTGATCCTGACAAAGCCAAGGTGTTTCTGTTCATAGCAGTGGGAATCTGCTCCTCTGTCTTTACTGGAAAACCCAATGAGATGTTCCTCTCCTTTAAAAATGTCCCTGTCCCTGTTCCAGGTGGACCAGCTGATGAGGAAGTGCTGGATATACAAACACGATGAGCGCACGACCTTCCACAACTTGATCCAAGGATTTGAAACAATTATGAGTAAAATGTAATTAATTTCTTTTATACTGTCAGTACTTAATGTGCATCAAAAATACGTATGGCCAATGCTCTTCATTTTTTTTAACTACTGTAATTTGTACTCTGACTGGGCCCATGTGGAGAAAGGATTCTTTTGCCAACAGTTTTCCTTTGAATTTTAGTTGGATCAAATGAATTTAAAGGTCTGGGAGGAAAGAGCTGCAGCTCCTTTGCTGCTTTTGTTGCAGGGCAGTTTTATCCTTATCTGATGATGGTTGTGCCACAATTGGGACTGCCCTGATTGATGTGATGGTGTGAACTGAGTGTGGGGACAAAACCCACTGCAGTTCTCAGTGCCAGCTCTCACATCTCAAACCTGAGCCAGTGCATATAGGAAGGCACAATACAGCCATTTAATAATTTTACAGAGTTTTGAGGCAGTTTTAAAGTCTGCCTGACAAATATTCTTCATGTGCACTTACTTAAATGTTAGTAACAAAAAACCAACTCTGGCATAAAAATGCAAAGCTAAAATTCTCAGCTCATCTTAACCCACCAGGCCCCAGTTCTGAGCTCTTACATGTATTTAAAAAAAAAAGTGTTGTGTTCAAAAATACCAACCAAGACAGAGTGGAGGGGTGGGTACAGCTGTGCATTTCAGTGAAGTTTTTGGATAAACAGATTTGCTTTTCCTGTCTCCCCTCCCCATTACACACCTTGCCCACTGAAGCTGCGTGATGCTGCTCCTCAGCTCGTGCTGTGGGTGAAGGACAGGAAGGGATTAATGACACACTTGGGGATGGAAAAGAAACAAATCCATGTGCAGAACCTGGGGGGTCATTGTCTAAAGGAAAAGAGAGGCCTGAGCACCCCGGGAACACCTGGGACACATATTCCTTAACCACCATTTGACTCCCAGCCCAAGCCCATGTGCAGGTACCCAAGGAGAGCCCATGGGACCATTTCCCTCTGAGCTGCTCTTGGCTGTGACCCCTCAGGCTTCATCCAACAGTGGTTTAACTGGAACCTTCTGCTGACCCTAAATTTGGGCTATAATGTTTTCCTACCACAGTTTGAAAATGCTTTGAGGAGATACTCAGTTCTGGCAATAATAGGAAGATGTCTTTATATATATATAAATATATACATATCAAATTGTAATTATGAGCTCCAACGAGGTCAGATTTATTTTTACAGTGTTACCTGTTGTTTCTGTATGTCACTTAGGAAGCTGAGTTAAATCTGTAAGCACTTTGTTACTCTTTATACAAACAAATTATTAAAGAACTTTTTTTTTTCTCCATGTGCCTACCTTTTTAATCATAAATTAAAAAGAGAAAGAGCTTTTCAAATAAAACTTCTATATGAATAGTGGTCAGAACATGTTTAAAAAACAACCTTTCCCACCTAACCTGACTGAAGTAGTCCAGGCCAGTTTTTCTCCCACAGAAAACCACTTTAAATATGTACCAACAATTTATTTTCATTGAAAAGTGTAACAAGTTGAGAAAGTTGCATATACAAACAGTTGGAACAAAATATTACAAGTGAATTTATCAATACATACAGGTAGAATCCCAGAAAGGCTCCTGTTCTCTGTTTGTGCACAAAAGGTGGGCCAGTTCCAGAGCCCAGCAGCTGAGGGAGGAGGGATTGTGATTGGAATTTTTTGTTTTTAAGCTTTGAAAATATGGATCCTGATCACATCCCAAAGCCTGGAAGGCAAAGTTTAAAACATTTTTTTTTATTTAAAAAAATCACTATTGAAAAATGGCTTCAGTATTAACTAGGAAGAGTAAGGAAGGTTGTGGCCTCAGTGAACTCAGTCCAAATGGATTTGCTGCATGATTCCAAGGCAAAGGATTCCAAGGATTCCTTGGAATGAGGGCTGGCTCCTCCTTTACCTCTCAACACCGACTGCAAAAGTATGGATTGCTAATCTTTAACTATAAAGACTGACAACAGAAAAGAACAATTCTTAATAAGCTAAAAATATAAGAAGTCTTAAAAAAAAAAGAAGGGAAAAAGGAAAATACACTCAATCTGGGAAACAATGGCTGTGGGTGGCCCTGGAAGAGCTGGGACACACCTGGCTCAGCTGTCCCACACACCTGTGGAAGGAGGAGGGGCTTCACCACACCCCGTGTGTTAGACAGGTACATCCACACACTGGAAATCACTGCCTCCCAGGAAAAGCTGCGGAGTCTCAGCCTAAAAGCAGATAAAGGTTACTCCACTGTCCAACTGTCACCTATCCAAATGCCACTGAAAATTCCAAGGCAGCACAGTATTACATCTTCCTTTTACCAGCCATTTATTGAGAACATCACCGAGGCTCTGGGAGTACATTTGGTATCGCTTCATTCCAGGACTGAGAGGAAATATTAAAAATGCCAAGGCTGTAAATGCAGAACTCTTAATCCTGGAAAAAGTCAGGTTGGAAAAAACCACACATTCTGAGTTAAAAAAATACAAAATAATTACTATCAAGACTTCCTCTTTTAAGTTCCTCAGCCTGAGGACTGGAGAAAGGATCAGCTTTCCTTCCTCAGGGATTTATTGCTTTCAGCTGGTGGAGCTGCCACAGCTCCCAAGTCACTGTGCTCTGGCCCTCAGCTGCTCTGTGGGGCAGGTGACAAAGCCAACACTGTCCCCTCTTGTCCCAAGGGAAAGTGAGACCACCAAGGACCAGCCATCCCTCACATACGTACCGTGTCCTTGGATGTGCCGTGACAGAGGGGGCTCCTCCTGGGCCACCACAACCACCCAGGGAGCAGGATGACGTGTATGGAGTTAAGGCAGCAATAAATAGCAGAGGTCCAGGCCTGCCTTGTCCCCTCCAGGCAGGAGAGAGGGTTCCAGGCTCAATACACACGTTTTTTTTTGAGGGAGGACTCTGTGTAACGCACTGTGGATCCCGGAGCTGGGAATTCCACAGGGCCGGGCTCCGGGGAGGAAATGAGGTACGAGGAGCTGCGCTTCTCACTCCGGGCTGGAGTCACCTGAGGGCAAGAAGAAAACAAGTGACATGAGCCACAGCAAACACTGTCAATAAATAACACTCCAGGCTGGGAATTACCAAGGACCTGGGAAGCGACTCCCAAGGCCTGACTCCATCGGCTTTAAGGTCCAGCTCCTGAGTCAGAGCTTGTGCCCTTTCCCTAAAAAGAGCCACCACTCATAAATGCACTGATCCCCTGCATCTGGGGGCTCTAAGGGGGTCTGACACTGGCACATCCTGCCCAACCCCTTATCACACCCACCAGGAACTGTGTGTGATCCTGAGCAACTCAGGAGCAGGAATGCAGTGGGAAAGCTCTGCCTGGGCTTGCCGTGGGCCGAAGTCCACTCGGTGGCAGCACAAGACAAGTAAGAAGCATCTGCAGCCGTTCCGCTCCATCTCCTCTCACCTTAGGGAACAGATTTGGGGGAGGAAGCTGGGATGCCTGCTGGGATCCCTGGGCTCCACTCAAAAGGGGAGGCACAACCTGCAAGCAGGTACTGTAGTCTGGGTAAGATCCACCTGTAGATTCCTAAATGCAGAATGGGATCCAGGATCAACCAGGAGGGGAAAGAAAATAGGTTTAATCGTTCATTTTTACTTGCTATAGTGATGAGCACTCAGCAGGTATGAAAATGCCTGAGTCCCACTAACAGGAGGTGCCATTCACAGCAGCTTGGGTGTGCAGTGATTTCTTGAGCAAAATGTGGGATTTGGGGATAGTTTACTTTACATAATTCCTTAAAAGAGTGTCCTTCTCCTTGGTCACAGAAACCTCAGCTGGGGCAAGAAACAGTCCTTCAATACTCAAATTCAACACTGGGAATACCATTATAGTGGGCTGTTTCTTGGTGGGAGTATTTTTATATTCCTGAATTTACAGCTAACTGGATTGTAGGCTTTTAGAGGGGATAATTTGAGTATGAATCCCAGGGAGTGCAGGGCTGCCCTGCAGCAGGTGACCATGCAGCACCCCTCATCCCACGCTCTCCAGCCCCTCATTCCTGGGGTCCCCAGGGCAGCAGCCACTCCCAGCACACAAAGCAGTGTCTAAAGCAGCCTCACAGCTCATGGGAGAAACAGCCAGTGGAAACAGCAAGAAAATAAAGGTATTTCTCACCTCAGAGGCTTCATTTTCAAACCCATCCACTCTGGCCTGGGTAGAGTGATGTGCCTGAGCATAATGATACCACTGCTGAACAGCCTCCTATAAAGGAGGAAAAATCCTCTCCCATGGCTGTCTACAATTCTTACAGCCTCAAAGCTCTCCGAGATGCATCAAAACACATTTAATACAAGTGATAAAGCTCAAATCAAACATTTAAAACTGTGATTAAGTGCTTAAAAGACACACAAGGCACCACTGTCCTGGCAGTAATGCAGGTACAGTGTAATAATTCCTGTTACATGGAAGGAGCAGACAGTGCAATAGGGCTGGATGGTGACATGTGGCATTTTTGCAGCAATGTGACACCATTTGAGTCCTTCATGGTAGTCAAGGTAATACTGATAACACTAACAGTACGGTACTGCTGATTTTTTTGGACAGTAGTTTACAGATTTGGGCTTAGAAACTACCTCCAGGAGACATCAAAATAAATTTAAAGCCCATAATCAGGTTAAAACAAAATGTTCACAGAATCATAGAATCACAGAATGGTTTGGGTTGGAAAGACCTTTGAGACTATCCAGTTCCAAGCCCCCTGCTTGGAGGGATGGGGAGAACACCTTACACTATCCCAGGTTGCTCAAAGCCCTGTCCAACCTGGCCTTGGACAATTCCAGGGATGGGGCAGCCACAGCTTCTCTGGGCAACCTGTGCCAGGGCCTCACCACCCTCACAGGGAAGAAATTCTTCCCAATATCCCATCTAACCCTGTCCTCTGGCAGTGGGAAGCCATTCCCCCTTGTCCTGTCCCTCCAGGCCATTGTCCCAAGTCCCCTTCCAGCACTCCTGGAGCCCCTTTAGGCCACGAGATCTGATCTGGGAGGTGGGTCTGGTCATCAGTGTCCCAATGCCTGTGGAACTTGCTCTCAGCCTGCAACACTCCCCAGACTCCCCCCCTTATGGCCATGCTCTGATCACCACGTGGGGCACATGGGAAGACACCCCATGCAGTGAAACCAGCAGGAGAGACTGCAAAAATTCCCCAGGCTGTGCAGGAACTGCTGGAAGGCAGAACACTCCTCTCTGGGATCCAGCCAAAGCTCAAAAAGATTTAAAAGCTTCTCAGGAAGGGAAAGAGAAAAACTTCAGAGTTTTGAAGACAGACAAAAGCCAAGGTAGAAGTCATAAGAAGTCATTTTTGTAGTGACTGCCCTGAGCCCAGGCTCTCAAGAAGCAATTTTCCAAGGGTTATGATTTCATCAGGGAATGTACTTTGTGCTAAATCTATCCTGAACACTGACAGAGATGAAGTGCCAGTGAAGAGGTTCAGTCTCAAGAGGAGGGTGGGTTTGGGTGCAGGGAGCCCAGGAGTGGTTTCATGATGCTGGGCAGAGCTGTCCAGCTGCACTCAGGGCTGTCAGGCCACACGTGTGCCAAGAAGTGCATCAGGAGCACACAGAGAAAACAATGAGCAGCTCTGGGAGGGATCTCAGGGATGTCTGCCAGAATTCCTGCTGGCTGAGCTCCAAGGGACAAACCAGGCTGCAAAACACGTACCTGTGTGTACTCCCCAGGCTGCTGAGAGTAACTGAAATAGTTCTCCATTGCATGTTGTGATGCAGTTCCCTGAGACACAGCAGCATCCACCACATTGTTTGGAAGGCCAGTCTGCTGCTGTGGATTGGAGGCTTTGCTGGCAATTGCTGCTGGGAACACAAAGAACACACAGTTTGTACAAACACACGGGCTGTATAAAACACACAAATTAGGTTGTATTCTGGGATTAAGCCAGAAATTTGCCTCTTCACATTAGGCTGTACTCCAAACTAATCAGTGCTACTATGAAGTGAAAGGCTTCTACAAGTTTGTCTGCACCAGGAAGCCCATTACCTCTGAGAATTTACCCTTCCCAAACGAAATATTAACTATCAGGATACTGAAATTTTAATACAGACTGCAAGATTCCCTTGAGGACAAATTTTGTGGTCACTGGATTTACCAGCCAAACAGAGTAAACATTTGCCACACTCTGGCTGTGGAAACTTGCAATTAAAGCCATGAAACATTTGCTTACCTGGCAGGCACATCCCAGGCAACACACTTGCCAAATTCAAGTAGGGGTTGGTGCTCAGACGAATTTCTTTTGGTGGTTCCCCAAGCAGTGAAGTCTGTTTTTTCAAGGGAGTCTGTGAAACAAGTGGACAGGGCAGTTTGCATTATATTTTTATCAAATTTGCCAGAAATAAGGTAAATGTCCCAAAAGGGTTTGGAAAAAAAAAAACTTAGCCCTATGAAATAAAACTTTTAAAATAAATCCTGGGGACAACGATCTGGACACACTGTCTATGCTTTTTCCTTCCAAATTATTTTATAGGAATGTTTCTCTTCAGACTGCAAGTTCTTAAAGGACATTACAAAACAAACAAACAACAGAAAACCTTTTATATGCAAGTCAGGGAATAATAATCATCATAACAACTCCAGATGCTGGGAGTGAGCATTAAAGACAGCCAAGACAAAATCAACTCTTTTCACTTGGAGACACAGGGAAATAAAGGACAAATGAGCCCTGGAGAGATGATGTTGTCTGAAATCTGCCATTACAACACATCCCACTGATCAGTCCATTTGTAAGCCTGGACTTAAAAGGGGAAAATGTTTACGAGTGGAAATGAAGTGTCAGGACTGGCTCACATTTCCTTTGAACCAAATGAAATGCTGAAATAAAACACTGATTTTCTATATGTATACTCATACACCCTATATTTTGTATCTATACCTACGTAAAATTCCACTTCATTACAGTAAAAAATGATTTCAAAAATGAAAAGTGTATTTTCTGAAATAGGAACAAACCTGTCAAAGTTGCCTAACAGATACCGACACTGGATATAATCTGAATTACAAATATATTTCCCCATAAATGTCAAAGTATTTATGTATATTATAAAAAAGTAAATTCTGTTAATGGCAGAAAAAAAACTTCTGAAATAACCAGACCATTCTGGTTCAACTTGAATCCCATCCCATCGTTCTCCCAGGGAATAAATAATATATAAAAAAACTAATGTAGACTAAAAATATGTCAGCTGGGGCTAAGGAGGAAAGGATTAGAAGTGGAAAATTTACAAACACACACAAATATATCTATATTTCTCTATATGTATGCAAACACACACACACACACACACACACAAGAATTGCTCCTGATTAGCCACGAAATTCAACCACAAGTTCAGTTTTCAGCCTTTAAAAGAGACACTGCCCTCGAGATAAATTTCATCATCAAATACTATGAGGCAAACCCATGGAAAAAAAACCCCTCCAGCATTGTGAAGACTCCTTTGTTAAGTCACTTGGACCACCAAAGAGCATCATTGTTCTCTCCCTATTCTTCATTACTGAAATGACCTTAAGATGTCTCATGGATGATCCTGTGATCTGGTGAAGAACTGCACTAAGTTGCCATTAACTCTTAAAATAAAGAGAAAATCCATATGCAAGAAAGAAAGAAAATATTTGTGTTCAATCTTCCTTACCCCCAGATTTGTGTCAGTGCTTTTGAGCTGGTTCTGTTGTTTGGTGTGTCCAGCCCTCAGAGCTCCAGCAGGAAGGGTTGTCAAGGGCTGAGGATAAGGCTGTGATCCCGACACAACGGCTTCGCCCGGAGAGGGTTTGTCTGGAGCATTATTTTGCCCTGGGATGGCTTGTCCAACAATGTGCTGATTTGGGAAGAATGGCAGCATGCCCATCCCTGCTGCTGCTGGAATTGGAGGCAGATTAGATGCTGCAGCCAACCATAAATGGAGAAACTTTGCTGTTACACGAGATTTATCAGCACGTTTTGTTTGGGGGTTTTACCGAGTGATGGGAAGAGCAGCTACAGATCTATTTCCCAGCTGTCCCAGGACATGGACTGTGAGGGTAGTTTTTATTCTTTTACCATCCCAGAAGAAAACAACTCTATTTAATAAAATAAATAGCTTTTCTAAACATTCACTATGATAATTTGTGTTTCCTTTCACTTTCAAAAAAACTGGGAACAACATCCTAGAGGATCCTCTATTGGAATAGAGGGGGAAACCCCACCTCAATTGGCACTAGTAAAAATTCTTTTAACTAAAGAGCTGGAAAGTATTCTCCAAAATTAAAATCTAGATATTCAGAAGAGGCCTCCTCCCCACCTTGCAACCTTTTCCTTGCTCCTGGTTATGACCATTACTCAGATCACATCTAGGATTGCACAACACAGGGCTCAGTGGAGGAAACAAAAGAGATCATGGCATCCTGGAATGGTTTGGGTTGGAAGAGACATTAAAGCTCATCTCATTCCATCCCCTGCTATGAGCAGGGACACCTTCCACTAGCCCAGGTTGCTCAAAGCCCCGTCCAACCTGGCCTTGGACACTTTCAGGGGTGGAGCAGCCACAGCTTCTCTGGGCAACCTGTGCTGGGCCTCACCACCCTCACAGGGAAGAATTTCTTCCCATTATCCCATCTAACCCCACCCTCTGACAGTGGGAAGTCATTCCCCCTTGTCCTGTCCCTCCAGACCCTTGCCAAACATCCCTCTCCAGCTCTCTTGGAGCCCCTTTAGGCACTGGAAGGGGCTCTAAGTTTCCCTGAAGCTTCCTCTTCTCCAGTCTGAACACCCTCAGTATCACAACTGGGCTTTCCTCATGAAAAAAAGGGCATCACTGGCACAGAAATTTGCATTTAAAACTGACATCTGTCACAGACTGAATGTTAAAACTCCATTGCTTTTGGTACAGAGGGAACCAGTCAGATGCATCATTTCAAGCTGAGCATTTCTACTGATTTGGTACGAAACAAAATGCCATTTACACTTCAGAGCTTCTCCTCGGGTTCCCATTCCTGAGCTCACTGCTGGCATCATCCCTATTCCCAGCACTGTCTGGAGGAGCATTGTTGGAGGTTCTCCCAGCAAACCTGGTTTCTATAAGGAAGAATAAAAAACTATGTAAATGATAAAATAATCTGTCCACAGCTATTTCTTATAACTTTCACATTCAGTTAATCTTTCAGCTACACTGAACTGTTCAATTATATTGGATCATAGACACAAAGAAGGAGTTGGGTTGGAAGGGACCTTAAGGATAATCAAGTTCCAATCCCCTCTCATAGGCAGGGACACTCGATGAAAAAATTATTTGTTTCAGCAGTTTTAAGACTGTCCAAAGAGTCAAAGTTCCAGTGATGACCTTACACTGTTAGCCTGGATGTTTTCCATCTTCAGGAGCTGCTGCTGGGGCAGTGGCAGGTGGGCAGGGCTCTGCAGCAGCAGGTTGGATGTGCTCCCCAGAACTGAGCTCTGAGAAATGATTAAAACAAGTGTTAGATGACAGTCATGGAGAACAGAACGCTCTTGAAACATTTTCAGATGTTACCACTTGAAGGAATTTAAGTTTTGAGTTAATTCAGCAAAGGAAAATAACAATTCCCTCCACACAACTAGTTTTGCTTCACTCATAGAAAGTTATTTCAAGTTGGTTTAAGCTCTCGACCACCCAGCCTTTTTTTTCACCTCACAACCACTGGATGGCTTCTAAAGGCTCAAAGTATCTCCAAACACAGCCCAGACCCCACTGCAGCCCCTGGGAAAGCCAACAGGGAGGGCTCAGTGTGTCTGAAGCCCCCACAGCCCGACTGGATGGACTGGAGTTACCTCCAGTGCCAGTAAGATGAGCCTGGAGGAGCTCAGGGAGTTCTGAGCTCTGTGAAAAAGGGCTTCATTGTCTGTTACATTTGCTTTGTGCCCTGCACTGCAATTCTAATCCACAACCTCCACCTTCACAGGCCTCTGCTGCGACTGGGAGTGACTTTCACCCCCTGCTTCACAGTATCTTTACCTCCAAAGAGGAATATCCAGATACCTTTCTCCCCCTCCCTTTTTTACTGGCAACTCTCTACATGAAATCCCGCTCCAAAGCTATTAGAAAGCTTACAAATCACAGTGCTTACAGATTGGCAACTCCATAAAATAGCAATATTTTTAATTCAAAATATTCTGGGTCAGTTTCTCACCAGAACTGACCCACTTAATTAATAATTTTGTGGCATCACGTTTAGACTCTGCTACTGATATATTCAGCATTATGTGCCCTGACCAGCACAGTGGCTTAAAATAAACCTGAAAAGACAAAATGATGTATGCTTTTTATTGAAATTGTCCTCCTGGCAACAGCTCCTGAGTATGATTTGCCAGGTAAAATATAGGTTGTTCTACAAACCTTTTTGTACAGTGGTGTAAAAATAGATTTATGGGACACTGACTGTGTCAAACCAGGACAAGCACAGCTTCCCTCATTTTTTATCAAGTCTCCTACATAGGAAAGATCACCAAAACCAGGGAATGAAGGTGGAACCCCAAAAGAAGGCAGCTCCTGCATAACACCTCACCAGTATTTTCAATCCTAGGTTGTGTCTCTGTATGGAAGGGTTAAATCCCTTGGGAAAAACCCTTAATATGGTCGTCTGGACTCAGAAATGTGCCTTTTAAAAAAAAGATGTGCCATATCTAGATTAGTTATGCAGCTGCTATTTTAATTGTCTTAGTGAATTCCAGTAGGAATTATCCAGGGCTGCTTATTGTCTCCAATGCCAGTGACTGTTCCTTCTAAACTTGGCTACATAACAAAGAAAATGTATCAGTCCAATTGTAAAACTCTGAGAAACACAAGAGTGGAAAAATCAGTTTGGTCAGAATCCTCAAAGGAAAGTCTCTGGGTTAACAAAGATTTAAAAACTGCTGGATGACTGAGGAAAACACCATTGAGAAAGCTTAAAATGTATTATTTTGGCACATGATAATTTATAACTAAGACAAATTAAATAAGTTGAAAGGCTACCTTGAGTCGAAAGATTACTGGATGAATAACCTTCAAATTCCCTCTGCTGAATCATTTTTATTAATTATTTTTTAAATGTTTTGGCATAATCATCCTAAATTACTGTTTCTTCTTTACAAAACCTCGAATACAAAATACAAACCCAAGGCATGCAGGAAGCTGAATCAGTGTGACTGGAAAGGTGCCTGTTCCTCTAGTTTGTGACAACATTTAAAGACAATAAAAACAGTGACCTGGTTCTCTGGCTTTAGAGAATAGTCCAAATAAGTCCACCTAAAACCAGAAAAATGTGCCTAATAGAAGAAACTGGGATAATCAAACCACTGACAATAAAACTCAGGCTACCAGAGCAGGTTTGGAGCTGATTAAATGACAGGAAGCTCCCGGGATGAGAATTAGACTTGTAAGTCTCTGTACAGAGAAAATACTGAGTTGTTTGGCTGCACAACTCCAGAGCCAAAAACCACTGGATCATCATCAATCCCACTGTTAACTGTGTAAAACAGGCCTGTCTCCAGCTGTGAGCAGCAAACACTCACATTGCCTTCCAAGGAAGCACAGACTCTCCAAGGCTGAAGACAGAGCAGCAGTAACTAAACACACCATCTGAAAATGTCATTTTAATAAAAAAAAAACCTGAAAAAATTATGTATTTTTAATATGCACAAAAGCAGCTCAGCTGATGGAGCAAAATTAAGTAGCATTTATTCAGAAGTAATATACTCACCTACCAGCTTTTAGCAGAAAAAACAGAAAGGCTAAATATACTTAATATAAGGAATATCTCTGCATTTTAGTTTGGTCTTTTTAAGATCTGTAAGTCTGTGTTTGCCAAAAAAACAGCAGAAATAACTAATGTTTGTGGGGATTCTAGTTTTTAAATGTGAACTTCTGAAACATCAGAAATAGTAAGTCAAAGCAATTGAACTCCAACCCCTTATAGACATTTATGAAAATCCCTGCCATGAATATTAAATTTGAATTTTGGCTTCTGGCAGAGCTGGAGAAATCCCTGACAGAACCTCAGCTCAAGGCCAAGTGCACCCAGCAAGGAGGAGTTCTGGTGTGGGTGCATATTCCCATCTCCAATTTCCAGGGCAAACTCATCCCAAATATCCTTCACAGCATCTTTCAGAAATTCTGGTGTCCATCTGGAATTCCAGGCACTCTGAGAACACTTTAAACAGCTTATAACGTTGGGGAGGGTTATGACTAAGAAGCAACATCTGCAATTCACTATTTTTATGGCATATGTACCACATTTTGGCCCCTGCAAGTTTTAAAATGAAGATAAACTTGCTGGTTTGAATAAGATAAAATAATCAAGTCTCTACAGGAAGGATGTATGAGCAGTTGCAAAAGAAAGGGATGTGCCAAGCTCCTCGAGATCAAATTTAAAGAGGAGTTTTTGTCACTAATGACAAATTTTCTCTTCCTCTGCAGGTGTTAATAAATCAGAAGCTCAGTTAGGACTAAATAACTCACTTGTGGATAGTAAGCACAGCCTGCTCTTACACGCCCACCTCAAAACACAGAGCTTTCCTTACAGCTTTGATGAGAACACCTGAGTTTAGGTGTAAGTTCTTACAACTTGCAGAGGATTTTTCATGCTGAGATCTTCCCAAATACCTATTTGGATGAAAGTTCTTTTGTCACATACCTGATGAACTTTGTTCAGCTGCAAAAAAGGGGGGCCAACTGCTGAATTTATAAGGTGAGGTAAAGCTGCAGATGCTCCAAGAACTGTTTCACAAACACACAAAAAAATTGCAGTATTTTACAAGTTAGCCAAGAAAAATCTTTGTAAGAGTTATTCTGTAATTTTAAATTTGGTTTCCATGAAATTTTCCTGTGTACCAAAGGTCACTATAATAGAATCACAGACTCATTTAGGCTGGAAAGGGTTACAAAACTTTTCAATACCCCCAGCTTTGATCTGCAATTCCCAGCATTTGAGAGCTCAAAGGTGCTCTCCAGGTGCTCCTCCAGAGCTGAGTTTCCCTGGAAGATGCAGCAAGGTCTGAGCTCATTGCAGGGCCACAGCATTATCTGAAGTGCTCTGAAATTCAGCATTAGCTGAACTGTTCCTTCACTAAAGTGGTCACTTCACACACCCTTTCTGTGTATCTTCTGTCAGTAGATTGTGTCACACACTCTTAGCTGACCCCCACTTGACTCTCCTAATTACCTGGTCCTGTTTCTAATATTTTCACCATTTGAAATGTAATTATATTGGGGTTTATGTGTTTATTCACACCCCTCTAATGAGAAGACAGAAATGTTTTTGGCTAATGCTGTTATGAAATGCTCTGCACAGCTATGGTACCATCCAGGTGAATAAAGATTTACGTTGGGAATAACAGCAGAAAGACTCGGGCTGCAAAATTCAATCTAGAATCAGATTTCAACTCCCCAAAGTCTTGCAGAGGATATTCCTTTCTAAGCCCATTTCTGCTATAAACATTCAGAGGTCACAGATTTAACACGAAGACATCTGTAGGTAACACTAAATTCTCCCCAAACACAAGAGTGTAGCAAACCACCTCTTGCTTTTGCTTTCATAAAATGTGAAACTGTCTATTCAAACACATTGAAACAGTCTGCACAGGTTTTAAACAGAATTTCTACTTCTCTGCTGAAAGCCTTGTACCACTAAGAACAGGGTTTCTTTTTTGAATTCTGTTTTAAAACAACTCACCAGGTTTAACAGCGTGGCCACGCAATTGGGGCTGCAGCAGCATCTGCAACATTGCTGGATTATTAAAACTCTTCATGATCTGCACTGGATTTGGCTCTGGGAGCAAGCCTTTCCTATTGTTCCTCATCTCCAATGAAGAGAGATACAAAAATGTTAGAAGCAGGAGAAAACAAAGAATACATGTAAATCCCTCAAACTTTTGTGATGTCAGTGTACACATTTCATTTGACACAGAAAAAAACATTTCTTTCCCTATTTCCTGCTCTTTTTCCTTCCAGTGAAACACCTAACAAACTATTTCAAGAGAACTTCAAGCATATTATTTCTCCTGACATACATTTTTTTTTCCTTAAACCGAAATGGAGTTATCAACAAAGGAGAGTAAGAGAGGCACTGTTGGCATGAATATCATATACTCACTTATAACAGACTACTCCTCTCCTTATAAAGACGTGGTTTAGACTTGGTTGAAGTGATGAAACTGTGTCTCTGCATTTAAGACACTTCCATGTAACACTTATCACAGTCAATTCTCTAGGAAATAATTTGATAAGACGTGGGTGCAAAAAGCTTTCTTTTATACTGAGCATGAAATTAAACTATTTCTTCTCCTACCTTGAAATTTATCTTAAAACTGACAAATTCTTCCTCTCTGTTTTAAACCAAGTTTTAGCTTGTCAAACAACTGCACTTCCAGTTAGTTTTGTTTTGAACTGGAAAGATTCCTCTCACAGAAAATTAAATTTACTAAAATCCCAGAGACATGTAGGTGTAACTTTGTGATATCTTATGGCCATATTTTGTCCTTCTTCCTGGCACTATGTGTCCATGCTTTGCCCTGGAAAGAGCCTGAACTGGACTGACTATACAGAATTATGGAATCAGGGAATGATTTGGGTTGGGAGAGACCTTAAAGATCATCTCATTTTACTCCTTTGCATTGGCAGGGACACCTTCCACTAGACCAGGTTGCTCCAAGCAACTCAAAATGTTGATGCTTCTGAAAGCTTGGCTCCTTTTCCTAAAGCAAAGCAGCTGAATCCCCGTGTCCCAAACCCGGTGTCCAACCCATCCTGAGGAGAGGTGTGCAGGTATCTCACCATCCTCTGGGCTGCTATAAGTGCTGCCAAGGTGCTCCTTCCCGGCGCTCCGGGGGCACAGTAGGACACCTGGACTCTCCTCCCTTTGAGGGTCATTCCATCCGTGAGCTCCCGGACCTTCTCCGCCTGCTCCGCGCTCTCGTACTCGACCACGGCAAAGTCCCCGGTGCCACCGTCCTCATCCTGGGCAAACTGCAACAACAGAGCAAAAGGGCCAATTCCAGGGACTGCCCTGCAGCATTTCCACTTATCTCTTCCAAAACCTTTCCCAGCTGATACCGAGATCAATGCCCACCCAAACCAGGACTTTCCTGTCTCAAAAGTCTTTCCTGTAAGTTGAATTCCATGTTTTCATAGGACATTTGGCATTCATACTTATCTACTTCAATTCCCACCTCCGCTCCAATCTAAATGGCACAGTCTTAACCTGTGCCAGGGGAGATTTAGGTTAGACATTAGCAAGAAATTCTCTACAGAGAGAGTGATCAGATGTTGGAAGGGGCTGCCCAGGGAGGTGGTGGAGTCCCTGTCCCTGGAGGTGTTTAAGAAGAGACTGGATGTGCCACTCGGTGCCATGGTCTAGTTGACAAGGTGGTGTCATGTCAAAGGTTGGACTTGATGATCTCAGGGGTCTTTTCCAACCTAGCTGATTCTGTGGTCTCATGGAGAACCTCAGCTACAAAATGTATTTAACACATATATAGAGAACAAAGGAGGAATCAGAAGCAAACTGTAAATACAGCTGGATGCTGCACCAATTTTTATTCTTCAGTTTTGAAGCCTGCAATAATCAAAATGTCATTCATCAAGCTCCGGGGCAGCTGCTGAAACATGCAACAATGCAAATTCCACCAGTATCTGGTGCCTTTTAGGAGAATATGAAGTCTGTGGTTGTGTCTACTGCCAAGAGAAGATGCCAGACTGATCAATCAAGCAGACTGGAAACAGGCTTACGTGTCACACAGTGCTCTGGCCTTTGTTTGTAGAGTTTTATAGCAGAATGAGCAGATTTAAATTCAACAAAAAAAGAGGGTGACAAGGGAGGGATGAAGCTTAGGCCAAAATCTCCGGTCCCAAAATAAATAGAAATGATACCCTGACACCAGCTCTGATGGGGAAGAGAGGAAATCTCTAGATTTCATTGGATGAAAACAACCTGTTCCCAGTTGTGAAGCCCTACAAACTTACACTAAGAGTTGAAAATTAAATTTCAAAGCTTTTGAAGAAAAAGGGGGTGGTCAGATGTTTATTGGCACTGTTAAAGCCAGAGCTCTGGAGAATACACATATTGATACATAAATACACACACAGATGTGTTTATGCTAAATATATGTGTGTGTGTCTATATTTTATATTTGTATTTTACTTCAATATCAGTTTAGGTGTACTGGTAAAGACCTGAGGTACTTGTGAAAAGACAGGTTTGAAGCTACAGAACATACATATTTTACTTTTAGTGAAACTGAAACACAGTTAAAAACTCCCTTAACATGTGGAACTGCAGCTACCAATATTCTTGCAAAGAATTCAGGAATTTTTAAACTTCCCAAGCAAACAGGACTGAAGAAAAAACCCTCTGCCCCTATCAGATAACAGTGGAGACCTTCTTGAAAGGTTTTCTGGTCCATTTTGCTGAAGCAAAGGACAAAACACTTTCCTGTAAGTCTTAGGAAAAGCCATTTTCCCTAATATCCACATGTAAGTGTCTGGCTTCAGCTCTTCCTGACTGAATATTTCTATTGTCAACAGAGGAAAAATCAAACCGATTTAGAAATAAACGGTAACTGTGGAATAAGATGAAATAAACCAGTTTATGAAATAAAATGAATAAGATGAAATAAAATTAAATAAACCAGAGTTTATTTTGTGAGGTCAGCTAAATATTTCAGGTAAAAGACTGTATTTACATGATGAAATACTGATCAGAGTTACGAGCAGAACTAAGCCATGAAAGCAGCACAAGAGGTATGCTAAGGAGTTTTCCAGACAAAAACACTTCTCCCAGTCATTGTCTATTGAAATTCCCTCCCCACCAAGGTTTCTGCTGCTCTGTCCTCTCCTGATTTTCCCCTTATATCTCTATCCTTTATGTTACATCCCCCTCCTTGCTTTTTTCACACTTTCTTGAGTCTTCCTCCTCCTCTTTTCTTTGTCCTTAATTTCTGGGTCACCTCACTCATAATTAATTAGCACCGGTGATGAGAATTCATCCACCCTCTTCCCTTTTGCATCTATCAAATTTGAACTATTGTTTACCTATCTCCTCCCTCCTGATTTTACACAAATAGTATTTAGTGCCATTTATTGATGCAGACACAAACTGACTCTTCTTACCTACTGCAGGTGTGACCCAAGTATTACTATGGAGGTAAAAATCAATTTTTAAGTGCCTCTAACTGCACAGCAGAATCCTCTTAGTGAAACCCACCTTTATCAGAGAAGCCTGGTATTCTCTGAAATTCAGAATTTTTAAAAGGATGTTGGAAATTTGTTGGAGGAGCTGATAACAGATTATCTGACAGCTGGAAAAAAAGCCCTGAAGTAAAAGACTTAAAGAGATCAATCTGTTTAGCTAATTAAACAAAGATTGAGCAAGAGACTTGATTGCAGCATTTAATACCTTCTTACAGGAAGAAAATAATAGGGAGTAAAAGCTCCTCAATTTAGTTATCAGTGAGGTGAAGCTGAAGCCAGATACATCCAACTGAGAAAAGAGACATGAGTTCAAAATAGCACAGGATGGGCAGTTTCTGGAAAGAGTTACCTTCAATTTATTGATCTCCTGGTATATTTGGATCGAGCAAGTCTAAGGATATTTACTCTGGCCAACTACAAATTACTGGGGCTCGAAAAGAGCACTAAGGAGGATGTGGTGGCCTGCAGGTGGTCAGGCCAGACAGCCTGATGGTCCTTCTGTTCTCAGACTGGGAATCTCTGGGTTCTTATCCCTTAATTCCCGAGCAACCTCCCAATCCCTGAGCAGCCTTCTGAGAGACTTAAGGAAAAAAAAAAAACCAACAAAAGCAACCCAGTAATGGAAATCACAACTGTGTGACTACAAGGAAAGCTTTCTTTCCACTACCTGTTTCTGGTACTCTGTCTGCACCACATTTATTTGTGGTCTTGTATCTCGCAAACCATGAGGATAAGAAGGAAGTATTTACACTACAAAGGCCTGTAAGGATCTACCTCTTCTGTACCTGCAAACTTTCCTACACATGTACCACTTCCACACCTGGCAAGTCCAGCACTATGAGGTGCCAAGTCTGTATCCTCCTCAGTTAGGGAAAACACAGGTTAAATATCTGCGGACGTTTCTTAATATATTCATTAAATCCATATATACATATATATATTTCATCAGGTAAACTATTTCATACACTCTGGCTTTAAAAAGCAATAAAACCATCACTTTTAAAGCTCTCAAAAATAAAATTATTTTCAATAAATTACATGAGGAGGGAATGTCTTACTAACATTTTACTGGCACTTCATGGGAGTGGTATCCTGCAGAATTCCCAAATATACATCACTGCAAACCCATACCGGTAAAGCATTTGTATCACATCTCACATTGCAGATGCACAGCTATTCACTAGTTCTATGAAAAACAAAAGCCAAAGACAGCAAGAGTGAAACCTTGATTTTGCATAAGACAGAAACCCAACCCACCTGGCAGAACACAGGTTTGTACTTCAGGGAGAAAGCTTGAATCAGTTCTTTTGAGTCAGCACAGTCTTTTTGTAATTTATCTACACAAAGGCACTTGGAGTGAATAAGGTTTGTGGTCAGCTGGTTCACATCCATCCACTGTGCAAACAGAGTGCTCTCCTCTAACTGCTTCCCCAGAAGTTCCAGCCTGGCCTTTGCAGCAGAGTCCTTCTTCATGTATTCCACAAAGCCATAGCCCTTGGAATGGCCAGTGACCTCACTGTACACCAAGAAACACCTCTCCACGTTGCCATAGGCACGCACAAGTTCTTCAAACTCTTCCAAGGTGAATGAAATGGGCAAATTAGTGATGCACAGCAAGGCATCCGTGGGTTGGAGCTGCACAGATATCTCTTTTCCACGCAGGGAATACTGGTGGAATTTCCGAATGGCGCTCTGAGCCTGCTCTCCATTCAACAGAGTAACGAATGCTGCAAGAGACCAACACAGGTTATACCTCCCATAGCTTTAGAGGCACTTACTACACCTCTCCCTCCCCCTGAAAGCCCCAAAAGGAATGAGTTTGAGGTTTACCCCAAAGATGCAATAGATAAATATATATTACAGCATATCTGTCTAAAGGCTGGAATTATCAATTGAACATCATGAGCAATTAACTCAAAAAGTGGCTACAGAAACACAAACACCACTACATGTAACCCAACAAAATTTTATACTTGGGGAACTAAATTAGATGTTCTACTATTAGTCTATTATTTACTATTCTACTATTAGACTGTTATTTGCTATTATTTACTACTAAATATTCTACTGAAGTCAGTACATTACAGATACTACTGAATATCTTTGCTGACAACATCCTCCAGTTCTCACTTTGAGGTTATTAGATCCTTTTTGGGTTTTCAGCCCATAAAACACTTCACACAATCACAGACTGGATGAGGTTGGCAGGGTCATCTTGTCCAACCCCTTCCTCAAAGAGGATCACCCACCAAAAGACCATGTCCAGATGGGTTCTTGTTATCTCAAAGGATGGAGACTCCACTACCTCTCTGGGCAACCTGGTGACCCTCACAGGGAAAAAGTGTTTTCTGACACGAGCAAATTGGAAAAGCATCTGGGTATATTTTCCCCTCAGGCACACATGGTTTGTCCTAAGAGAAGCCTCAGGATCAGTGTTCCAAGGGAATTCAGACACAGCTGGCGCTAGTTTTGTCCCAAAGAGACACTCACTAGGGGAGACCATAGTGAACCAACTCACTTCTGGCCAACATCACTAAATTTCCAACTTCCCACAGCCTTCAGTGAAAGGTGACAAACTGAGCCACCAACAGAGGCCCTGAGGGACAAAGAGCCCAAGTGATTGACAGGAAAGAAGCTGATGACTTCATACCCTGTAGATGATGTTCCTCACAGAATTTAAGCATCTATCATTGGAAGTTTTTAAGTTCTTACCTGTTCTTTTATTTCTGTCCACATAACAATACTTGATTTCATAATCTTTAAACAAGTCGTGGATTTCCTGCAAGAGAAAAGTACAAGTGGCATCAGGTAAACAAGTCACCAGACCAAACAAGTGTATAAATTCATCTGAATTTCAAACAAAATCAAAAACTTTCCCAACAAACAGAAAATCTCACCATAGAAACACTATCAAATATTTGTTTCTAGAAGAGCTGGTTATACTACTGCAGCAATGTTTTTATCTCCCATAAAAAACTGGCTTACTGAATTTGATTAATTTACTTTTCACTCTGTGAGGTCACATAAACACAAAAGGGCGTCCAGTCAACTGTCTTTTGCTAAAGACAAATAACATCACAGTTCATTAAATAGCAAAACCCCCTCAGTTTCTCTGAAGTACAACTGGCATAGCTAAAATACCACACGGACAAGAAATACCGGCAGCATCACATCACACGGTTTACTGAAGGTTGGCAACACTGGCCCAAAATCCAACAGTTGCTTTAGTTTCCTGTGACTGCTCAAGTTCACTTCAACAGATTTTCACTCTTTTAATAATAGATATTCTTTCACCCAGCAGATAATTGTGCCCAGAATACCCCCTGGAGAGTATCCTCTATCAGTTACTGTGCAGATGCTCAATGGAGAATCGATCCCAAGAGTGTTATTTGCTCCCACTATTTAATGGGGAGAGAGGAGTGGGAGGGATGGGTAAAGCAAGTGTAAGAGGTGTGTACCAGCTTGCTACAGCTAATCCCAACAAAACCAAGGTGTACATGCCCCACAAAACTCACAAATGATTGTCAGTTTAGTGGTGAGAAAGCAGAGATGAACATTCTTTACCCCCAAGGACAAACCATGAGGAGTAACCTGGAGATATATATTTACATATTTATATATATATTTAATTTGATAAATTCCACACACAATAGCAAAAGACCATTTGAGCAAGCAAAACCAGCTTTGCCTGAAAGTTTATTTGCAGCCAATTTCCAGCAGCCAGGTTGGTAATTCAATATATGGAGCCTAAAGGTTAATTGGGTTCTCTGTGACGGGTATCAGGTGCACACCTTTTAGTCAAGCGAGCACCTATCTCTGGTTTCACTAGTTAACAGCTGTCAAATACTACATTAATAAAATATGGCAGCACTTCTCCAGCTACCAGACCTCCTCTAATCAGGTGTGATAAAGATGTGGTTTCTGAAAAGCAAAATATGCCAAAGATTCAAGCCAGGTAGGGGATTTGACTGTGGACATTTCCCTAAAGAGAATTAGATGGTTCATTCTCGGTCATGAGAAACTAAGAAGACACTTTCTGCGCTGTTTTGTGCAGCTCAGCTGTACTGTGGCACTGAAGACTCAAAAAAAGTTATTTCTGTCCTACTTAGAAGAGGAACATATTTTGCCTTTTGCATTTCCTGTATTATTTTACAAGAGTAACACTGGTAGTTTTTTATGATGATTAGGTAGCAGGAAATACTATTTCAAACAGCTCTGAACACTGTTTTGAAAGTCATCTGTGAATCAGATGATTCCACATGATTTCCCAGTTACTGCCTGAAACTTTGAGAGGAAGAAAAGTCTGTATTGAACATTTCTTTGGGGATAATTATGAGGTTTCATGTAAAAAATGATGAGAACATAAGGAAGATTTAAAATGAAAACCTAATTTAAGCAAACAGATTTCAGTAAAGATTTCAACAGCATTTTCCACAGGTAGTTGCAAACACTGCCAGGTTTGTGCAAAGGGCTCTCCCAGGAAGGTTCTTGTTCCTGTTCTTTCCTGGGCCCTTGGCAGGGCTCAGACCTTCACCTGTGGAACTGGGTTTGTGCAGTGCTTCAGTGAAAGTATTTTTCACATAAACACCGTTTGTGACAATTTACAGAAGTAAAACACATCATTGCCAGCTCTTAGGCAAATGTGTACTCCTTAAATTAAACAGATGTAAATATCTGTGTTAGACTGAGGTCCTTCTACTCACTGAGCTGGCTTTTGAGCTCAGGCATTTCTGTAAACTTAAACCCCAATATCTCCCAACACTCAGGTCTGGTAGATGTTCTCAGGTCCTGTTCCCCACAGCTCAGAGTACTGTCAGGGAAAGGAACAGGAACACTTCACCCTGCTCCAATCCAGGTTCAGTACTCAACACAGCTGATCCCTCTGATCCAAACTTGGGCTAGGAGGGAATGTTTACTCTGGGAGGAGAAAAGGGTCATCCAAGTCAGGTGTACTCTCTGGTGCGACCCTATTAACTTGCAAGGAATGTAAGCACAGGGCTGTTTCCCTGAGAACAGCACAAACAAACAGCCACGGTTCCCCGTTCCCAACCTCCCGGCAGCTCCTACCTTCTCCTCTGGGGATCCTGGCTCCACACCCCCAGGAAACAACAGGGAGCACTTGCCTTGCCTTAACTCCTGAGGTTTAGGAAAGCAGGAGTGATACCAGTGGTGGTACCACAAGTGAGCCATCCCCAGTGCCACCACCTTGTCCACGCTCGCAGTGCCCACATCTGAACCTTCTGTTTGCAAAACTGCTTCTCCTAAAGGATTTTTTCCTCTTCAATAAATGAATGAATCTACCAATCTACAAAAACTGACTGATAACTGCCACAATAACACTGATTTAACTGCATCTTATTAAGTCTAATCAAAACATCTACCAACACGTTGGGCTGAAGCCTACGATGGGCTGAAGGCTCAGCTGCCCTGGGTGCCACACACTGGACATATATATATATTATACAAAATATATATATAATATATAATAATTTGACAGCAAAAATGTTAAGCTATCTGGCAGATATACTGCAGTCACAGATCCTGTGGAGTTTCTACAACAAATAAGGCCAGTTTACACAGGGCTTGGAGCAACCTGGGATAGTGGAAGGTGTCCCTGCCCATGGCAGGGGGTGGAATGAGACGGGCTTTAAAGTTTCTCCCAACCCAAACCAGTCTGGGATTCTGTGACTGTGGAACAGAAATATAACCAATAATGCTTAACTACTATACAGCCCCTTAAAACTTTACAGTTCTTAAAAGCAGATAATCTTATAATCAGCAAAAATTAAAATCCTAACCAGAAAATATATTCAGTTCATACATTAAAATTAGCAGAAAAAGCAAACCCAAATATATTAAAGGGAGTTTAAGAGAAATGACTAGCAAATATAAGATGAACATACTTTAAAAAAATTAATTATTTACTACTGCAAATGTGATCCTGAAACACTTCAGTTCTTGGCCTGTCCTGTCTTGTCTTGGACAGAAAAACTGGCAATGTGAGTTTTCACCACATACTACCAATTTGAAACTTTCATCTCTGAAATGGAAAGAATTCCTTCCTTAGAGAGGATCTTTGTGCTTTAGGACCTGCATTGTTCTAAACACAAATGAGAAAGGGAGTCATTCACAAGCACATGTGCCCTATTTATCAAATTAGCAAAGCTCAGTGTATTATTTCTAATAAAACCAGCTTTTCCTACCCAGGATCTCACAGTGCAAGAGGAAAATATTCCAGAAATTCTCGGTCCTCACCTGGAACAATAAACCATTATATAAAGCCTACAGCACCCTAAAGCCAAGCATTTTTCTCTCTCTAGATGTAAAACTATATGTAATACTAAATGTAATAATTGTGTTATTCTGGCAACAAAATATTTAACAATTCTAAGGGTGCCTAGCCAGATTTGTGCAGTGAACTTTAGGGAAGTTTCCAATATAAACACTGGACAAGCCTGGTCTATAACTTGGCTCTCACTAAGTAGCTGCAGGCCTAAACTTCACACGCATATTCTTGAAATGGGAATCAATTAAGTTTTAAGTAGCTATTTGGCCAACCAAGAAGTTTTAAATCATCTCAGAACTGAAAAAGACTTTGTTTTCATTTGTGCAGGCAGGGCAGGAAAGGAGAAGTTCTCAGGAAAAAAAAAAAAAAGCTTTACATTTACAAATGATATAATGGGGTGTTCATTTAATTCAAATTTTAGACCACAAAATCTTGAGTCCAGGACATGACACATGGATTTTACTGCAGATATAAAAATATAAAATAAAAAATAGGTAGCAAGCGTGAGAACATCAACACAGTTTAAAATAATAATCTGTTACTGCGGGGAAAACTCAGAGACTCTGTTGGAGACAAGAAGTGGAGCACACAGCACCAAGAGGGTTCATAACGAGGCAGAAGGATGGATATAAAGAGCAGTTTTAACCATCTCTTGACCGCAGAGGAAGGTCTCAAAATTTCACCAAGGCATCAACTGCTGGATAAACCCTCTCTTGCTCCTAAGAAGAAACCTTTCAAAGATTGGGCTCACCAAACCATACAGTATACTTTGTTCCTTCACAAATCGTCAAATGTTTTTCACTGTTGAAGTTCTCAGAGGAGCAGTGGCTGTAGGATCAAGTCTAAGAGGTGCAGCAGATGTCAACCTGCCCAGGCACCCAGTTCCACCTCAGCACATTCCCCCTCTATTTTCACAGTCCCAAAATATGAAACCTGAAATAAGTTCAAGCTTGGAATTCCAGGCCATAAACTGCCTTTAAGGTAAAACTTTTTGTTTGAGAATTGATTTGACTTTTGTAAGATCATAACCCTCAAAGATCTTCAGTAAAGTAAGAGAAGAAAACATTAGGACAGAAGATCAACAGTTTCTCAATAAACTTATGATGGACGTGGAATGAAAAACTTATTTCTCTGATCTTCCAGAGACATATTAGTGTTGGTAAGAGGAACACTATGGGACTGGAAATTAATTCTATTATCCTGGGTATACTGAGCTAAATGAAAAAGGAAAAAGATAATGAAAGAGGTAACATGAGACAGCAAGGGCTCAAAGCAAAGCAAAGCAAAGCAAGCAAGAAAATCAAAAAGTATGTACATCCTAAGGCAGGAGAGCTGCTCACTCTGCACCAAGTGTGCCTTTCATGTTCAGTCAGTGTGACGGAGGAGTAACGAAAACACAAAGGCTCCTTCTGCTCAAGGGTCTGGCTTACAACAGGTTGGGAGACAGCACTTCCTCAAATCATCACACTTCATTAAAGGCTTTCCATCAAAACGGAACAAGGAAAAATCATGGTTAATCCAGGGAGAAAGCGAGAAAAAAACCCAAAGCCCCAGCAGAAATAGCGTCATTCTAAGTGGTGATTTGTCTTTTGATCAGGAACAGACACCCATGAAAACACTGGATGGGTACATCAGGTTCCAAAACACAAAATAAATCCCTATCCCAGGTGGACTGCACCAATTTCCTATCAACACCTCAGTATTCCCTCATTCTATAGATTCTGTCATGCCCAAGGAGAACCACAGGGTATTAAATAATTAACCAGCCCTATTTTGCTTCATGTCCTACATTAAAGTAGAGCATCCCCCCCATAAGATTTATTTTCTAGCCTCAGCTTAAAGAACAAATGTAACACAGTGGCATTTAGGGATAATCAAGCACAGAAAAAAAGGTTGGGAGCAAGTGCATCTTTTGCTGGCTTCTCAGTTGCAAAAAGGGGAAGCAAAAAGCAAACAGCCCTTAGCAGAGAACACTGGTGATTTTGATATAAATCTCAGTAATGACAAGCAAAACAGATATCCCCAAGGTCTAGTTTTCCTAACAGGAAGTCCATGGGATAGGAACTGGTACGCCAAGGTACCACTCTGCTGATTGCACCGCAGGGATGAGCCACTGCCCCTATGAAGTTCATCAGCCACAAATAAGGAACCACCAACACTGAAAAAAAATTACTTGGGGAAAACCAAAAACAATTCTTCTAACCCACTGGGGTAATTAAAAAAAAAAAAAAACAAACAAACCAAAAGAAACAGAAGCTGATTATTAGTCTTAGATTAATTTTATATATATTATGTTTTATTTTACTTCAATAGTTGAACTGTTCCAAGGACCTTCTGTTTGCAATTTCTGCACTTTCAACATCATATGTGACTGCTTCGCTATTGGAATGGATTAGATGATTGATCAGAGATGATGGCTCAGGGAGATGCTCACACAACAAGGGAATCCAAGAGACTCCCAACCAAGAGTTTGCTGATTCATTGCCAAGCGCTGATCAGAATAAAAGGAACTACTACAACCATGCTTACTTTTAAGTCTCTTGGCAAAGATTCCTGATACAAACATCAGCCTTACCACAACACCACATCAGAGGATATTAATGTTAACAAGAACAGACCCACTATCTGATATTTTCAAAAAGACTAACACCAACAGGACAACGTCTGTCTAACTGTAAAACATCACATATCACTGCCCTGCCCTAATGAAGCCATAAAACAATGACTGGTGAGAGCACAAGACACTTCCCCACCCTCGCCAGAAGAACTGCAAATTGGAGGAGCGTGTTGTGGAAAGGCTGTGGGAGGAGAGAGGATCATTGCTCCAGAGTGTGAAGGCTGGAATGCAAAGCAACGTTCTTGAAGCTCCATGGAGAAACAGGAAAGCCTGTTGTGACCCTCCACACAGCCTACTCCACACTCAGTACTGAACTCTGGTTTTAAGACAGTAGTCACTGCTACAGACACCAACAGGGCTTCATCTCGAGATTTAGGGAGGTCAGCACCAGCCTATGAGCATTCTCAGATCATTATCACACCACACAGTTCAGGTACTGTGCTGGAGAATCTCATGAGGGTGAGTCTGGGGAAATAACTAGAAACTCTGAAGATGTCACTATAATAGCTCAGTACAAAATCGATTGACTTGCCAACTAAACAGCAAATGGAGACTTTGCCTTCAATAACAATGAAGATGTAACAATGTCTACCACAGATTTGTCACAAAAGAACCTTTCCAGGGTTGTAGTGAGAGAAATGCCTCAACAAACACTAATCCTGCAACTCATATTTGCAGGTTGATCTATAAAGCCCAATGAAGAATGCTCTTGACATAGTTAGACTTAATTTGTTCTCCCTTTGGATTTGTTCCATACTGACACTCATAGCTCCTGAGGGAAAACAGCTCCTAAGGGAACATTGACTGACTTAGTAGTGTGACAGACTGCAAAGTGCTTTCTTCAGGCTGTCCTTCCTCAGGATTTTCTTAGGAACATACATGTTGCCAAATGCATTTAGGGAGAAATCCCACTTGCCAAGACTCAAACATGGGCAACCTCTGTCCCTCAACAAGTCACCTGCACGTAAAGCACTGAACACTTCTGACACTTCGAGATCTCTCTCTTTGGTTTCTAAGATTACAAACCTGTGGAACCCTGTTTCTGGGTCAGAAACTTCACTGCTAAGGTACATTTCTTCCGTGGCCTTAAGATTTTTTTTAATTCAGTTTAACACGGGCAGAACTCCAAAGGTAATTGAAGATTGCAAGTACAGTAATAAATAAAGTTAATATGTAGCTACAACTGGCAGAGGAGTTTATTTGTTATATAATTTTATATGATAAAAAGCATGGGGTTTTTCTTGCAAAACTGAGTATCTACACCAATCTCTATGAGCAGAACAGTAA